CACACTTTACTTACGGTGCCTACTGATCGCTTTACTCGATTATCTCAATTGTTTCTCTTTAAGCTATCTTCGGCTTATATACTAAAAAAGAGGGCGTCTAGCAAACGCTGGGACATTCGTGAGGTTGCCCGCTAAGTCAAGATCCTTCTAGAAACTTCAGTGCGCATGCTCTCAGCGTCGCGTGACTTCCGCTGTCGTAACAATAGCTTAGAAGGGATTGTTCAGTGAATAAAACCAAATGAAGTTTCGAGACAGTTATTTGTGACATAATAGATATATTTCTGTACAACGTTTCGTCTCCAACAGTACCTTAATTGATGTACGTGATCATGTCTCACTGTTAGAGATGAAACGCTGTACAGAAATAAATGTATTATCCCACAAATAGCTGACCATAAACTTCATATTGTTCGGAAGTTAAGTGGGTACCTTATAAAAAGCAAACCAATTGTTCAAATACAGATGGAAATTAGACACCCGGGAGACCAACGGCTTGAGTTGGAATTGGCTGGTCACCAGATTCAACTCAACTGAGACTTCCGGTTTACATGACGTCACACGTCCTACTATATATTTCATTGTTTGCTTACCTATTATTATATTAGCATAATATGCTTCCTGACTCAAGTACAAGAACTCGAAGATGAAGAAATAGAACTCTTTTGTCATCATTGAGTGAAGTGGTCTTTGTATTTTTTTTACCTGAATAACTGAAAGAATACACCTAAGAATAGTAACAATTACAACCTCATTATTCATAATTTTATGTTAAATTAGCCTTAGCAGCTTTGAAAAATATAAACTGTGAAACAAGTATGATCATATAAAAACATCAGCATTTAAAATATTTAGTATCGACTCATTCGAATTTGTTCCATAAACGCTTGAAATATGCTTCATTATGAGTTAGTAACACTAACTTTATAATTGTTAAATGCAAAAAGTAAAATCTGTTTCTGTAATTTCGTATGGATTAAAATTTATTAATTGCAGTTGAGCAAGTTTG